AAAAAAAAAATGTTTCACTGGGGAAGATTACTAAAGTACGTAAGTTTTCTTATAATCAATAATGAGATACACCAACATGTTGTTGTTGTTGTTGTAGGAGTTGTTGAGTTGGGTACAACTCATAGAGACTCAATGAGCAACAGATCAGAACCCTGTCCTATTCTGTACCATTCTGACACTTTCTGACACACTAGAGCCACTGCAGTAGTCATTATGTCAATCCACGTGGTTGAGGGTCTTCCTCTCCTTTGCAGACTCTCTGCCTTTCTGAGCACCATGTCCTTTTCCAAGGAATAGTCCACCTGCCCAAAGTATGTGAGGAAAAGCTTTATCATCTCTAATTCCAAATAGCACTCTGGCTGCACCCTCTCCAAGACATATTTGTTTGTTCTTTTGGCTGCCCATGGGATGTTCAGCGCTCTTCTCTAATACCACAGCTCAAAGGCATCAATTCTTCTTCTTCATTCTTGTCTACTCTCTGATGCACAGCGATTGGAAAGCTCATGGCCTGAATGAGATGTACGTTAGCCTCAAACTTATATCATTACTCTTCAATAATTTGGAGAGGTCTTAACTGTAGACTTTCCCAGTACAGTATTTCTCCTGATTTTCCGACTGCTGGTACCAAGGGTATTAACTGAGGATCCAAGTAAGATGAAGCTCTTGACAGTTTCAATCTTTTCTCCATCTATCATGATTTTTGCCTATCAGTCGGGTGGTAAGAATTTTTGTTACCTTGACATTTACATGTAATCCACACTGAAAACTGTATTCTTTGATCTTCTGCAACAAGTACTTCACATCCTCCTCACTTCCAACAAGCAAGGTTGTGTCATCTGCATAAGACAGGTTATTGATGAGTCTTCCACTGTTCTTGATGCCACATCCTTCTCCATAGAATCCAGCTCAGCATACAGACTGAATAGGTATGGAGAGAAAATACAACCCTGATGCACTCCCTTTTTAATTTTAAATCATGTAGTGTCTGTTCACACAACAGGTTTCTGGTCTAGTTATAGGTTTTGCATACACACAATTAGGTGTTCTGGTTTCCCATTCTTCTCCATGTTAGTCCTACGTTGTTATGATGCACACAGCCCAATACCTTTGCATAGTCATTAAGCACAAATAGACATTTCCCTGGTATTCTTTACTTTCAGCTAGGATCCATCTGATACCAGTAATGCTATCTCTGGTGCAACAGCCTCTTCTAGCTTCTGCTTGAATTTCTAGCAGTTCCCTATTTACATACTGTTCTAGCCATTTTTAAATGATCTTCAGCAGCATTTTGCTTGCTTTTGATATTAATAATATTGCTCAACAGTTTCCACATTCTGTTGGATCATCTTTCTTAGGAATGGAAACAAATATGGACCTCTCTTCCAATCTGTTAGTGAGAGAGCTGTCCTCCAAATTTCCTGGCATAGACTGATGAGTGCATCCAGAGCTGCATCTCTTAACTAAAACAAGCCAATTGGTATCCCATTGATTCCTGGGGCTTTATTTTCTGTCAATGCCTTCAATGCAGCTTCCACTTCCTCCTCCATTACCATTGATTCCTACTCATATGGTACTTCCTCAATTTTTTTATTTTTATTTTTTAGTGTAACTCAGTTGTTTCATTTGGGGTTTTTTGTACAGTGTCTCTGTGTATTCTCTCCATCTTCTTTTTTTAAAGATTTTTATTTTATACTGACTTATTGACAAAGCTTGAATACATTGTTTTTCACAAAAGATCTTTCCCATTTCCTCCACACCACTTCCCCCCCAGTGTCTCCATCTTCTTTTGATTCTTCTTTGGTCATTTAATTTATCACCATAGCATCTTTCATTATTGCAACTCGAGGATTAAATTTGTTTTTCAGTTCTCTCAGCTTGAGAAATGCAGAGTGAGTTCTTCCCTTTGAATTCTCCAATTCCAGCTCTCTGCATATTCCATTATAATATTTTGCTTCTTCTTCTCAAGCTGCCCTTTGAAATGTCCCACTCAGCTCTTTTACTTTAGAGTCTTTTCCCTTTGTTTTGGCTTCTCATAGATGCTCTAGAGCAATTTTCAAAGTCTCTCTCTTTTTTTTCTCCAAAGTCTCTTCTAACAGCCATTTCAGTTTTTGCTTTCTCCTCTGTCTTTATAATGACAAATACCAACATATAGAGGGCAATATTTAGTACAGCAAGATATTCAAGTAATCATAATCATTACAGAATTCCAGATATTACAGAATTATGCATTAATACAAAGTATTTTCAGCATAGAAGATAGGTCAGTAGATTTCAGGGGAACACAATATGAAAAGTTCATTGAAATGCTTTCAGATTCCATATAAGGATCTACTAATTTTTTTCTATTTCAGTGTAGTATCAAAGAAGAATATATAAAAAAGTATGGGGGGAGAATTGGGAGGGAAGAAAAATGCAACAATGAATGAATAGAAATTTTAAAAAAGTATCTGAAAGACTACAATATATTCCTTCAGCTTCTAACTCTATACTTGTGTGAAAACAGTTTTTCTCCATATACTTCAACTACAATAACACATTGTAACAGATAGAATATCAAAGTAGATATACTTGTCTTCTATCAAATCAGACAGTTAAGAGATTGCTACAAGTTAAGCAATACAACCAATGTTTTTAATATTTTAAAAATAACATTATTTTTAAAATATGCTATAGTAACATACCTATTGAAGTATCTTTTTATTGATGTTTACTGTATATTAATATAATACTTTTAATTAATGTGGTTCATTTCTAAGAAGATATTTGAGGGTTAAAAGAGAAGTAGTATTTGAATATTCTGAATATACATATACATGCATTTCTATATATTCTTTGGTAAATTATCTGAAGAGAACTTATGAATAATAGTTCAATGGTTAATACCATGATCTCTGAAGCAATGCTTCTTACAATTAATCCCTGACTCTTCCCCTTATACAGCTGCCTAATTTCTTTGTGGTTCAGTTTCCTAATTAAAAAAAAAATAGAGGCAATGATTTTAGGAATTTTTGTCAATTAAACTAATGATTACATAGAGCAAGATCCTATGATGATGAAGGAAGAAGTTCAAGCTGCTTTGAAGGAAATAGCAAAAAAATAAGGCCCCAGGAATAAATGGTATACCAATTGACGTATTTCAGCTAACAGATGCTGTCTTGGACGTGCTCACCAAGTTGTGCCAAGAAATCTGGAGAACAACCACTTGGCCAACTGACTGGAAGAGATCGATATTTGTTCCCATTCCAAAGGAAGGGTGACTCAACTGAGTGTGGAAACTATAGAACAATATAATTGATTTCACATGCAAGCAAAATTCTACTGAAGATTATCCAAAAACTGGAACAGCACATCAGCAGAGAACTGCCAGAAATCCAGGCTGGGTTTAGAAGGGATCATGGTACTAGGGATATTGTAGCTGATCTTAGATGGATCTTAGCTGAAAGCAGGAAATACCAGAAGAATGTCTATCTGTGTTTCATTGATTATGCAAAGGCATTTGACTGTGCGGATCATAACAAACTGTGGCTGACTCTGAGAAGAATGGGAATCCCAGAACACCTGATCGTGCTAATGTGAAACCTATACTTGGACAAAGAGGCAGTCATAAGAACAAAGCAGGGAAACACTGCATGGTTCAAAATAGGGAAAGGTGTATGCCAGGTATGTGTCCTATATCCATACCTTTTCAACCTGTATGCAGAACAGATTATCTGAGAGGCTGGGCTCTGTGAGGACAAGTGTGGTGTCAGGATTGGTGGAAGATTTATTAACAATTTGTGTTATACAGATGACACAACCCTGTTTGCTGAAACTAAGAAGGACCTTATGCACTTGCTGCAGAGGCTCAAGGACTGCAGCCTTCAGTATGGATTGAGGCTCAATGTCAAGAAGACAAAGATTCTCAACACTAGGCCAATTGGCAGCATCAGGATGGATGGTGAAGAGATTGAGATTGTTAACAACTTTAGTTTGCTTGGCTCCATGGTCAACACTCTTGGCACCAGCAGCCAGGAAATCAAAAAACATATTGCGATGGGAAAGTCTGTTGTTAGGGACTTCTCCAGGGTACTGAAAAGCAATGGTGTCACTCTGGAGACTAAGGTGCAGCTGCTACAGGCTATGGTCTTTGCAATCACTTGTTATGCATGAGAGAGTTGGACAATGACTAGGGAGGAGTGAAGGAGAATTGATGTCTTTGAGCTGTGGTGCTGGAGAAGAGTATTGAATGTACCCTGGACTGCTAGGAAAACAAACAGATTCAGCCTGGAGAGGGTTAAACAAGGCTGGTCCTTGGAGACAAGGATTCTGGGGCTTCGACATGTTGTAAGGCGGGACAGGTCCTTGGAGAGGGACATCATGCTTGGGAGGGTGGAGGGACAGTGTAGGAGGGGAAGACCCTCTATGAGGTGGATTGATTCAGTGACTGGGGTATTCGGAATGGGTGTGTCAGAGGCAGTGCGATTGGCACAGGATAGAGCAGGGTTTAGGGCTGTTGTACATAAGGTCGCTATGAGTTGCAAGAGACTGACGGCACGTAACAACAACAAATTAGTGATTGAGATAAATCAGTTAATGTGTTCTTGTTATGTGCTGCTGGGTTTTAACTGGCTCATGGCTGACCCTCCAGTGGGTTTCCAGAGCTGTAAATTATATGGAATGAGACTGCCTTTCTTTCTCCCTTAGAGCAACTGGTGGATTTGAATTACGTGCCATTGGGTTCCCAGATCAACTCCTTACCATTAGGCCACCAAAGCTTCCTTCAGTTAATATAAGCTGAAATTATGCTAATAGCTGTAGGCTGAGATTGATGTTGAGTTGTCAAACATACCAGATAACTAAAGAGTTTGAGTCTACAAATAAATTTTTACTTTTGCTTCAAGATGTCTCCATTTTTCTTTCTCAATTCGTTGTGCTTCACGTTTTTCCATTTCTTCTTTCTCATATTTCAAGCGTGCTTCCTCTAAAGAAAAAAAGAAATTCTTGGTGATTAAGTCAACATAATTTTAAGCACTTTGCTATTTTCAGAATGTAGTGGAGGTGACAGCTATTTTGTAGAAGTCATATATCTAATACATGGTAAAAGCATTAGATTTCTTTCAAAAATGTAACATAACCCCCTCAAACATTTTGGATTAAAAAAAGGAGCTCTAATGCCTAGTGGGTAAGGAGTTGTGTAGCCAACCCAATGGCAGGAAGTTGGAACCTATCAGCAGCTCCAAGAAAGAGAGATGGGCCATCTCCTTCCATGTGATTTGCAACCTCTGAAAACCCACTGGAGAGTTATCTATGAGTCAGTTCTGACTCAAAAGCAATGAGAAAGAGATGATACCACTCTTCTCCAAAAAGTAAGAAGTCATCCAGTAACGATGTTAGCCAATAACATATGACAGATATAACATAGATAATTATGAGGAGGTAAAGTCTTTGGGAAATAGCTACAGTATTGTGACATCTAAATAATTGGCAGAAACTGCCTTAATATTTTCATGCTCTATTAAGATCAAGATGTTGTTCCTGCAAACTACTAAGTGACTATGACTCATAGCAACAATATGAATAATAAATCTGAGCACACTAATCAAGATATGTATTTTAAAAAATGAGCTTTACCCTAAATAAACAATAACTTCATCTAATACATAGATTCCAATGTTGCATTCTTATGTTGAATCACCTAATGCTGATTCATGAGTGGTCTAATAGGAAATTTCATATGAAATCTGAGGATCAAACCCACTGCCACTGAGTGGATTTCTAGAACAGTGTGGAAACAGTCTGTCACATCTTTCTCCCGTGGAGAAGCTGGGGGGTTCCAACTGCTGACTTCTCAGTTAGCAGCCGAGGACAGATTTTTTAAAATTTGAATCTCATTCCAGATAAGTTTTTAATACCAAAAGCTCCAACCACCTGAAATGTTCCTTTTGCAATCAAGTGTTTAATATTTTAATTTTTAAATATTTTATTAACTTTTAAATGGTATTTTAAAGCACATGAAAGTCTGTTAACATTTGGCAAATCAATGTTGTTACACTATAAGAACACAAGGGGCTGCATGTGTTTCTTATTAATGTGTGTTTCTCATTTAATGCATTTGCTTCAGAATGCTTACTGCACAATCAGGAGCAAACTCAAACAAAAGCTTGAGTCAATTTCAACTCACGGCAACCCTTTATTGGTTTTCCAAGTTACAAATGAGAGAAGACTAATTTCTCATTCTCCTATAGAGTGGCTGGGGGTTTGAACCACTGACCTTTCAGCAGAAGCCCAATATGAAGATAAATGCCACTAGGGCTCATTATACAATCAGCACAGTTGCCTTTAATTTCATCAGTAAATATAAACACTTCAAGATAGAGCGGCTAGATTTAGCATGTTAAAGAACACGCAAATTGTATCTGGAATTTAGAATTTCAGATAAACAATTACTTTTTTCCCCGCTTAAGCATGGGCCATATATTGCACAGACCAAATTATTCCAAATAATCATTGTTTATCTGAGATTTGAATTTAACTGAGCATCCTCTTTTTTCATTTGGCAACAATGCTTCAAGATACATCTGATGTGATTTCTGTATATTGACTTAGATTTGTCTAGTACCCTTTCAGTAGTTAGCTACTGTTTCTTTACTATAAAGAAATTAAATTACAAAAAAAAAAAAGAACTGCCACCTATTTTTACTGTTATCTCTATATGAAAGCAGTCTTACTGAGCACTATTTGGTACCTTCCTCTTTCAGACGTCTCTCTTCCTCCTCTTGGAGTAGCTTCTGTCTTTCAGCTTTGCTGATTTTCTTTTTCTTAGTCTAGACTTAACAAAGGTCATAAGATTTTGGGTGGTTTTTTTTAAAAAAAAGACTATTAGCATGTAGTGAAACAAAAAAGACAATTAACATGCAGCCAAATCAATTAAGATTCTGTCTTCTCAAACAGTAAGTATTTTGCTTTTATGAAATCAGTCTTTAAATCAATCAGTTAACAAAGGAGACTGCCTATTATGTGCCAAGCCCTGGCAACTGACTTTCAAAAATTATCTAAGGAACTCTACGGATCACAGCAGAATATAGTGAGACATGCCAGAAGATGAGCTCCCTAAGCTGGAAGGCCCTCCACGGTGACCTCAATAATGGAAATATGCAGCGATCAACATTTCCTTATGTTGTACATCAGGTCCCATGTATCAAACTTGACTTACTGTAAACTAATAACAGATTATGTTCATTTAAGAACTATGACAGGAAAATTAAAAAACAAAACATATTACTCAAGTTCAAGGGTGACATGACAAATATACACAATTTAAATAATTCTGAATTTCCAAGTCTTTAAAATGGTGCTACGTAAAATCTCATTTAGTTGTAAAGATTAAATGAAAATAGAATTAAAAATAATTTGAAAACTGTAAATCTCTATAAAAAAGAGCAATCTTTATGACTAACAGATATACAAAAAGTTATTTTTAAACTTATTTTGCATGTCTGGAAGATGACATTATTTTCAACAAATAAATTTTTATTAAGAAGCTAGCTTTCAATTTGTGCCTCAAAAGGATTGCAGCATTCAAATATAAAGGACAGACATCCTTAGAAGAGGCACACTGAGGCACAAGACATAAAGTTGGGAGTTGTTGGTGTGTCCTGACAAACACACATAGCTGACCGTGCAGTGGATTTTCAGTGACAGTAAATCACATGGGAGGAGATTGCTCATCCTGGATATACCAAGTGGGTCCAAAGGAAAACTCCAAGAGGCGATGAAAGAAATGCTAAAGAAACTGGACATTTTTCAGGAAGGTGGGGGAGTTTTTGATAGTTATGACTATCAAGAATACAATTTTGAAAACCTAACCTGATACAAGAAAATAATAAATATTAAAAGGGTACTAATTTTGGTGGCTATTACCAATAGTCTAAGCAAGCATTAAGGAGACCTGGTGGTACACTGGTTGCTAAATATTTAGACTCACTAGTTGTTCTGAGAATGGTTGACTTCTGTAAAAACATACTGTCTCTTTTTCTCTTGTTGTCATTGATGTGGTTTTGACTTATAGCTTACCTCCTAAAGGGTTTATAAAGCAGAAAGGGGAGGAGATTTTCCCATCTTCCTCTCTCAGAGCCACTAGGAGACTTGAATTTCCAGATGTAGATAGCACCACTCTCTATGGGATATGCCATCAGAGCTTTTTGTGAATATTTATAGCCTTAGGAAACATATGGGGCAGTTCTACTCGGCTCTATATGGTTGTTAGGAGTCAGAACTGATAGTGAGTTTTGATGAACGTTTAGGTCTGCTGGCTTAGACCATAAGGGAGATGTGCTTCTAGCCCAAAGGCCATGCTTCTTTGGCTACTGGAATCCATCAAAAGGAGAAAGAGGAGTAATCTCTCACATGACTGAAGACTGATGGTCTCAGAAACCCAGTGAAGGGTCAACTATGAGTGGGTTCCGACTCAATAGCAATGAGTTGAGTTTAATGAAGGATGTGTCTTGATGACTGAAATCCAGAGAAGAATCTATTTCTCATTGTCATGGGGTTGGAATGGACTAATAGCTGACCCTCTACTGGATTTCTGAGGCTGTAAAGCACATGAGAGCAGACTTTTTCCCTTGGATTTAAACCATCAGAGTGGTCATGGCCTTTGGGTTAACACTGCAAGAGCCCAGGAACTATACCATCAGAGCTCCCTAGAAAAAATAGAAAAATTAAGTGTTCTGTATGCTAATTTATTTGATAGTTATTAAAATTGGATGGAAAGATAAGTTAGAGGGAAAGTCAGAAAGATAAAAAAATGGTAGTCCAGAACAAGCAAATTTAGGAAAAGAATTACATATAATTACTATGAAGTGTTGATGGAACTAGAGTCTAAGCCATGCCTGCAAGCACTGAAACTGTAGATCAAAGATCTGGGAAAGAGATCAGGGCTACAGAGAGCCCATCAGATAATAACCACCTCCCTTCCATTTTCACCACCAAACTTTTGGTTCTGGTGGCCTAGTGTATAAGAAGTTGTACTATCAACTCAAAGAGAGTTGATGCAAATCCACCAGCTGCTCCATGAAAGAAGGATGAACAGTCTCCTTCCTCGTGATTTACAGCTTCAGAAAACTCAATGGAGGGTCAGTGGTAAGTCAATTTTGACTCAATGGCACATAAAATCATCACCTTTTGGTTAGGAAGCAACACAGTGTTTAAACACTGTGCTCCTAATTTATTATTGAGCTCTGTAGGCTCTCATGGAGAAGTTTGTGGATTTGAACCGTTTGACTTTGAGTTGCCAGTACAAACCCTTACCACTAGGCCATGAAATCTATTATTGTTAAGAAAGCTTTGATGGCCTACTGGGTAAAGGGTTTCACTATTCAAAAAGACCAGTTGCTTCACAGGAGAAAGATGGGCAATCTCCTCCCATGTGATTTAACTTGGTGTTGTTATGTGCCTTCAAGTCACTTACAACTCATAGCACCCTATGAACAATAGCTCTAAACCCAGCCCTATCCTGAGCCAATCTCACTGTCTCTGACACCCTTACCCCCATTACCCTGGTTCGTGTGCCAATGCAACTCCTTCAGTGTTCTCCTTTCTTCTAAGTATGATGTCCTATTCTTCACAATGTTAGCTACAATTTGTTGTGAACCTTTGCATAGCCAATGAAACAAAAATAGACATTCCTCTGAGACTCTCTGCTTTCAGCCAAGATCTGACTTTGGCTATGTGGCAGTCCCTAGTGTCACAGCCTCTTCTAAAATCAGCTTGTATTTCTGGTAGTTCTCAGAGATGTCAGAATCCTTGAAAATTGTGTTTTTCAACCATTGTGTTAGCCTCTGTTGGGGGCATGATCTCCAACTACCTTAAGTGCCAACACATGGTCTTGCAAATCACCAACAGCTGTAAGACCAACATATAAGAGAGTGCTTTCCACACTGTAAAAAATGGTAAAGATGGTGGTGGACAGATTATGGTACTGCTGTGAAGAAACTGTGGCAAGGAGTAACCAGAGGAACCCTCTGAGATAAAGGCCACAGTTAAAGATTTTGCTTCTTGGATGTGAAAGAAAAGCTAACTTATAACGGTTCTGAGACAAAAGTTTGCTGAATGATTGAGGAAACCAGAGGTATCTTGCATTTTTACTGAACTTTCACTAACTGAGGAATTATGCCCTTTAAATCTGCCTTGGGACTACTGGTCTAAACCTGGATTTGTATTGGTGACATTCTATGCCTCCCCTTCTCTCCAACCAATTTCCCTAACAAACCACACAACTGTGAATAAAGTATGTGATTCTTGCAACAAACACAGGACCCAATGATTGGTAAAAATAGGTTCAGGAATATGTAGGGTGGTATGTCTGAATATATACCCATTTGTATGGTGTTATAGACCTTATTGATGGGGACAGTTTCCCTTTATGAAGTGGGTAGAAGTCAGACTCGGCCATTCTGACATTGCAGCTCCTTTTGCACTGTCAATGTGCTGTCTCAGTCATTTCTGGATAATCTTCAGAAGGAATTTGCTTGCATGTGATATTAATGATATTATTTGATAATTTCCACACTCTGTCAGAACACCATTTTTTGGAATGGTCTCTTCTATCAGTTGGCCAGGCAGTTGTCCTCCAGATCTCTTGACATGTCTGTTGAACTATTCCAATTAGTATTTCATCATTACTAGTGCCCTGATTTTTGCCAGTTGCTTCAGAGCAGCTTGTATTTTCTCCTTTATCAATATTCATCATATGTTGATTCATTAAATCCTTCTGTGTCAGCCAATTCTTTTTTGGTACAGTGATTCTGGGTACTCCTTCCATCTTCTTTTGATGCTTCCTGGATAATTCAGTATTCTGGCCATAGCATCCTTAAATATTACAACTCAAGGCTTGAATTTGTTCTTCAGTTCTTTCAGCTTAAGAAATGCAAGTTTGGCTCTTCTAATTATCTGACTCCAGCTCTTTGCACATTTCATTAAAATACTTGCTTTGTCTTCCTGAGCTACCCTTTGAAATCTTCTGTTCGGCTCCTTAATTTCCTGATTTCTTCCCTTTGCTTTGGCTCCTGGATGCTCTGGTGCAGTATTTAGAGTCTCTTCTGACATCCATCTGTTTTTTTACTTTCCTTTGTCTCTGTAATTATCTTTTGGATTCTTGATGGATGATAACCTTGGTATCCTCCACAGTTTGTCTGGTCTTCATTCTTTAGTGTTCAAGGCCTCAAACCTCTTTCTGAGATGGTTTTAAAACTCAGGTGTATAAATGACATCCAAGTAGATACATGTATACCCATGTTTATCACGGCTTTCTTTACAATAGCAAGGAGCTGGAAACAACCTAAATGTCCATCAACAAACGAATGGGTAGAGAAGCTGTGGTATATTCGCACAATGGAATACTATGCTGCATTGAAAAACAAGGAACTCATGCAATATTATTCAAAATGGGTGACCCTGGAGGACATTATGCTGAGTGAGGTATCTCAGTCACAAAGGGACAAATGCTATATGGTGCCACTGTTGTAGAATGAGGCTGGCATTGGGGTGGGGTAAGGCTGAAAAAAACTGGATTAAATATGTTTACGGCATTGAAGTATATGGGGGAGAGAATAAAAGTATTATATTTTAGGGCATTATTTTTATAGTAGGAGTACGCAATGAGGGTTGCAGAGTGGATTATATTTGGGGGTAGGGGGTGGGGTTTGGGGAGGGGCGGGGGGATTGTGTACCAATGAGGGAGTTTTTCTTTTGCTTTTCAAGGAGAGGAGCAAACAGGGGGGGGGGGGGGGGGGAGGGGTTTGTGCGGGGAGAAAGGTGC